AATAATAAATAATAATAAATAATAATAATAATGATGGTAATAATAATAATGATAATAATAATAACAATAATAATAGTAGTAATAATAATAGTAATAAATAATATTAATAAGTAATAATATTGATAAATAATGATAATAATAAATAATAATAATAACAGATAATAATAAATAGTAATGATAATAATAAATAGTAATGATAATAATAAATATTAATAATAGTAATAAATAATAATAATGGTAATAAATAAGTAAATAAATAATAGTAGTAGTAGTAATAATAATAATAATAAATAATAATAATAATATAGTAATAATAATAATAAATGATAATAATATAGTAGTAATAATAATAAATAATAATAATATGGTAATAATAATAATAAACAATAATAATGATAATAATAATAAAATAAATAATAATAATAGTAAATAATAAATAATAATAGTAAATTTGAACTTGAATCACATTAAAATCAAATGTATTTTTCTTTTACTTTTAAGCGAAAAATTTTCTAAAATGTTTCATAGATTCATCGGACATTAATGCTGAAATCGTTACCATTATTAATTAGATTTTACAACTGGCAGCTAGGAGTTGCTGGGGATGGCTGAGGGAAGGTAACTGAAAGAATTTTCGTCAAATGCCGTCTTTCAATTCAACAAAATGTGTCGATCACTAATGCTGATATATTCATTTGTGACAACTTTGTCGCAAACTTTGTCAAAAACTTTCGCAAGTGTCAGTAAGACAGTTTCGCTTCTCATATATTATTAAAACCTGGAAATCTCAGAATTTTGATTTTACGTAAGAAAAAGAAATGAAAGGATTTCATCATTTTATGTTGGTTTTGCAGTGGCGGAATAGCACTTTGCCTCAGTCCAGAAGGTCGGCGTAATGGTGAGGCTCTTGTAAGATTTGAAGATTCCGAGCAACGTGAACTGGCCCTCAGAAGGCATCGGCATTTCCTGCACAACCGCTACATTGAAGTGTATCGCGCTACAAGAAACGATTTTTTACAGATTGCTGCAGGTTAGTGATTTCTACAGTAGTGCCAGACTTTTCAAAATAACTCAAAATTACGATCAAGTTTTTTACAGAATAAAGTTTTTTTCTTTCCGTAAAGTTATTATGTGATCACTGATCTTCGTAATACTAGGAGTAGGCCAAGAAACATTTTGCAAAGTTTTGAAACGGCTCATTCAAATTTTGAAATTTTAAGGGCATTTTAAAACTTTTGGAAAGAGTTTTATTTGTTATTTTTTAAAATGGGTGTTGTGAAGGGTGGAAGTAATAAATGTATTGCCTTTGGTGCCGTATTGCTGTTTGTGATGTTCTTTAGATCTCCCATTATTTATTCAAACAGTAATGTGTCGATGTATTGTTTGCATGTGGTGAAGCCCTGTAGATTGTGTATATGTTTCGTTGTCGTATTTGCTTTTCAAAAATTGTCGATGTTGTATACGGCAGCCGTAAACACAACAGCAGGAAAAGTAGTACCGATGAAAGAGGCTCTTTTTATTTTAATATTTGGGAATATAGAGTATTATTTCATTTGTGGATAATTTGTCTTTAGAAAAGGTCAGATCACAGAAACAAATAATCTTTGGAAATGGAATGTTAGTTCGTTCACTTTGTTATTAGTTAATATTTACTCATTTCTTCGAAATTATAAAATCACCGTGCATAAAACTGAATGATGAACATGAACTGGAGGTAATAAGACAAGAAACTATTACTCTCTTCACTGGTTTTCCATTTCATTCTCATTTATTACATTTTCACGGTTTTAGCGCATTTGAATGGGTAAATTTCCTCAATATCAGTAAATAATATTATAGTAAGATTCGGCCAGTTCAAGGATGTATCTGAAGGTAAATTCGTAAGTCAACCGCAAATTTCCAAAATTTGGGTGACATGAACTTGAAAGTACACTCAGAGAAGCAAATTTTGTGCTGTTAGTTTTATTGTGAATCGTTAGTGGGCAATGGATGAATTATAAAACCTCTTATGAAGGTGTAGAATTAGTAGAAAAAAGAAAAAGAAACCTCTTATGAAGGTGTAGAATTAGTAGAAGGAAGAAAAAGTACAGAGGCAGACGGAATTTAGGACGATTGTCACAGCAGCTATTCAAACTGCATGCAGTATGCATCCGTAAAAAATATCATTTTTCCCATCCATTCAGCTGTTATGGTGGTTGGACACCTGAATAAAGCTCGGCAATCTTCCTATATAATAATGTTTTGGAAATAAGGTTGCTTAATGGGACAGGTGTATTGAAATCAAGCATTTCAGAAGCCCAGTTTTTGATTTCTACCGTACTTCCCTTTTAGTACCGATCTAGCCCATACTTTCCTATAGGTAGATAGGTAGGTATCTATTTTCGTATCTATCCTTCTCTAACCCGCTATCGTCAATGCTCGCTCTCCTTCTACCTCTTCCCTTTTGCATAAATTTATAGTTTCATTGAATTTTCCTACTGGCTTCTTGCCTATTCTACACCTATCTGATCTCGCTTTTCACTTCCACCGTTACCATCATTTACATTCCCGTTACCACATATATTGCAGGCTCCAACTCAGAAGCAGTGCGCTTTGTAAGCCGAGGTAGCACAGGTGCCATGATTGTTCGTATGCGGGGCCTTCCGTACGATTGCACTGAAGCGCAAATTGTTAGTTTTTGTTCCAATTTTCAAAATCTAATATATTTGTAGACTAAGACTCTCTTTTCAGTTGAATTTGGAAATTCAAACACTTCGCGATAGTAGGCTAAATCAAATCCCATGTGGCGCATTTAATTTGAAATTTGAAATAACACAGTTACTAAAATTTGAAGTAATTACTTTTAAAACAAAGTAAAATACTATTAAATAACCCTTCCAAGTCTTTGAAGATAACTAGCATTAGTGTATGCAAAGTGATTCAAAAACGGTTAGATTTTATCAGTTACTAAATATGGTCGGGATTTGAACCGAGATTGAACAGCAGTAGGAGAGCTGAGCAAAAACCAGCAGTGATTTCCCAGAATATCCCACTGTAGAAAAAAATGGAAACATCGAATGGGTATATTGCGAATGTCCCGCAAAGTACCAGTAGACCTTTCATTCTCTATGTTTTGGATACATCTGCTGTCTTGCGTGAATACTGTGAAAGTAATATAGGGTATTACTGAATACTGTGAGTAATACAGTGTATTACATCTCAGTCGAAGTAGTTACATCCGTGCAGTCTTAATACTTTGTAATGCCAGTTCTTTTAATGAAGAATTTCTAAGCAAAGAACTTATAATCAAGATTGGAAAATGTAAAATTTAGATTATTCGGAATTTGAATATTCGATGGTCTGCCACTTTTTCATTTTCATTTTCTTTTTCTAGTCTTTCAGCTTGAATTTTTCGCGGAGGGTGAGAATGGTTGTAAAGTAACAGATGGCGGTATATTATTTGTGAATAAGAGTGATGGTCGACCAACCGGTGATGCTTTTGTAATGTTTGATAGTGAGGAAGCTGGCCAAAAGGCGCTTACAAAGCACAAACGTACCATTGGCACTCGGTATATTGAACTTTTCAGGTAAGTCATTTAATATTTAATCTTTTTTTGAGCAGAAACTGAAACTTGAGAAATTGGAAGGCGTGAAAACGAGTTCATCATCTAAATTATGTAACAATTTATTTTACCTGAAAAGTATTCTTAGTGAGATTACGGATGAATCCTTCCTTGAAAACCTCCTAAGCTCCGTGTAATAAGCTTCGTATCACGATTATCATTTTTTCTTAATCCAGATCAATCGTGGAATTTCAGCAATAAACAAAATAGCAGGAGGTAAAGGGAAGAGATTAATTTTCTCTAAAATTTTTGCTGAAATTCTTATGATAATGATAAAATCGTTCTCTAACTTATGCTCTCCCTTCTCGCCTAACTTTTTATTAATTTTTAAATGGCCTAAATTAGGATAGCAATTTACTAGAAATATAGACTGTTACTAGTGCAATACACCATGCCCTTAGAAAACTTTTTTTTAAATTTCTAAGACGCTGTTCATTAGTTTTTTCCTGTTCCTCTTTGTCTGGGAAGTACAATTTTCCATTTCATAAGCAAATATTACAAATATGTTGATGATATGTAAATGGCATGTTTAAATGAAATGTAGAGAATCTTATAAGGGACCACTGAAAATATATTTATTGTACAAGATGTTGAGGAAAAAAGTGAAATTTCATATTTAAAATTGCATATCTAAAATGCCATAAGAAGTGAGATTGCATACGAAGAATTCCTAATCGATATCGAGCATTCTAGGATATTCTCATCTTCGATTAAATAACTACTGGAGATTTGTAGTTCCATGATTTGGGTCTTATAACTTCGAAGAATTTCAGCAAAGTCCAGCATATTAAATAAATAGCTCTTTTTGCTTTTATCGGTATCTGCGACCGAAATACTACCGCAGATTCCAGCACTAGGGTAGTAAAACTTTGTGATTTCAATTTTAAAGATTTAGTTTCACAAATTATCTACATACAAATTTTGTTCTACACCAGTTTGAAGCTTAAACTATCCTTTCTGCAAGACTGAAATTAGTGAATTAAATAACATCGTACTTCTGGCTTTCTTTTATTTAAATATGTTTTCTAATTTTTCGTAAATTTGAATTTCTTGACTCAAATGTATTTACATTTCATTGGATTCATAGGGCTTACCTGACAGATAACGTCATCTGGTCGATTCAACAACTGATAACAGTTCATAGACACTATAGTTTACAATATGTGTCATCTGTTAAATGACATTTGTGAACGATTCCATTAGAATTGTGTCATATATAAAATTCCGACTTTCATGCCCTTTTATTAAAAAATGTTGTGAAGATTTAGTAGATTTCTTCTATATGCCAGTCCACATTTTCGGTTATCATGATTGTCCGACCGACAATTTTTTTCCAAAATTTGAAGAAAATTTCTTCTGTCTATCCTTTATTTGGCTAGTTTTACTCAATTTCTTGGTTACTTTAGCTTGGGCCCAATGAAGAAGATATACTTAAGTATACTAAACTTGAATTATTCACAGTTACTTTATAAAGTCTTTTCAGTTGTCATTTTTTGCATGAAATGCATGCATTATTTCCTGAGATGGACTTGCTGCATAAATTTAAAGTCAGCTCATTTATAGGTCGACCCAAGCAGAAGTACAACAAGTGGTTAATCGAAATTTGGAAAATGACCAACGCATGATAGTTCATGGTAGTAGTAGGAAGGACTGTATCAGATTAAGGGGCCTTCCTTATGAAGCTCATGTAGAAAATATTGTCGAATTTCTCGGCGAAACCGCCCGGCACATTATGTTCCAGGTAAATAGAACTTGTAATTCATGCAGTCATGGATGACAAATAATTGGCTTGAATACAATTAAGGTTGATTACTTCCAAAACAAATATTGTACTTAGTAGCTAATTAATTCTTAATTATTTCAAGTGATATGTGATCATCCGGTTGAAATTAGAAGGGCTTATGTTATGGAATTAGACATTGCTAGTAAAGTTAGTCAAAAGAATTTTAACTTCTCCTGCTGCGTAATTGAAATGATAAATCCTCAGTTTATAGCATTAAATGAATCTTAAACCTTAACAGTTTTTGTGTTTCTAATTGCAATTATATTTTACGATTTATTTTAACTCATCGGAATTGATTTTATTTTTATTAGACCCTTTTTAAATTAAAAGTGATTCGTTCCGAAACGAAACCTTTGAGCTTTTGGTGTGATAAAATTTGTAACAACTGATTTTTAATCTAAAAATAAAAAATGTGCATCAATGAAGAGGAGGACACAGTTTGGTGACATATAATCCTCTTATTAGGCTTGTTTTATAGCAAATATAAACACTGCTTAACTGTATGAACCATATTAAATATGGAAATACCTCTTCCCCTTCCTAGCCCTTCCCAATAAAATTAATTACAAATAGATATCTAAAATGAAATGAATAGAATAAAAAGAATAGATAATAAAAAAATGGAGTAAGAAGGAGAAGAGAACGAGTTGGGTAAATTATAAATATAATAACTGTATCAGGCTTTTCAGCTTGCTTATGTAACAATATACTACTCCTCCGGTAAGGAATATCAGATGCAGGCGGTATCTTTTCTCCTTTTATCTTCGTACCCTTTTCTTCCTTATTAACTACTTTGCTTCTTCTTTGTCTGTTTGTCACAAACTTTCCTTTTATAATTTCAGTTCGGAATATCTGGTTAACAGAGTAAATGGGTCGTTTTAGCAACAACGATATTATCTTGTAATTATCACCTTTTCCTCCATCTACTTTTACCTCTTCTTTTCGTATCTTTTGTTTTTTTTTCTCTTTCTTCGTCATCTCCCATCATTTTCGAGATTGAGTAATACCTCATAAATAAGTTCCCAGGTCCTGTGCAAGAATCCGAGGGTTGAACGAGAGTCTTGGCTGAAGGAACAGTGTTTACCTTTTAACTGATCATGATAACAACAATGATGAGAGTGATAAGAGTACGATGACATTAACGATAAATATTATAATGATGAAACGATAATGATGAGTGGTGTTGATAATGTTTCATGGAGTGCATATGGTATATAATGCACAAGGTCATCCGAGCGGAGAAGCTTTCATACAAATGGATTCGGAGATGAGTGCAGCAACCGCTGCTGCATTAGCTCATAACAAATATATGCAAATAGGAAAGAAACAACGATACATCGAGGTGTTCCAATGCAGCGCAGAAGATATAAATTTAGTTCTGACAAATCCGCCATTACCACCACAATTTATTCTGCAGCCAAGACCACTCTTCCCACAACGTAAGTTAACTCACATTGTACACTACCAATAATAAGGCTTCTAGCATTTTTTCTTGAAATATTCATGCTGTTATGCGATAAGAATTCGATTTAGATAGGATTAGTTATCTATGAGAGCTAACCTGAGCCGTTCAGGAAAAGAGGTTCGAAAGCATTCAAATTTCCCTAAAGTTTCTTTAGAATCATTAAAGAAATTGTTAAAACAACGCTGTTCTAATGGTACTGTAATTAAAAATTGGATGTGTTATTTCAGAAGCTGTTCAAAGTTTGGTACCAGCAATAGTACCGCCATTTACACCATTGTATTGGCCATGTCTTAGTCCACCAGCGTCACCATGTATCTATCCGCTACAATCGCAACCTGGTCTAGTCTTGGTTACCGGACTTTGTCCAAACATTACACCACAAGATATTTTCGCATATTTTCAAACTAATCCGGAGGTTGCTCCCCTAATTTACTATTCCAATTATTTGAATGAGAACTTAAAAAAATAGTGGAAAAGATTTCTTCTTTATAAATTGGAAAAAAAAGAAAGTCAATTCCCCACTATGAGACGAAATATTATTGTTAGTGTTGATTTGATGACATGTGGAACGAAAACAGTAACACTTGAAGAGAGAGTATTGTGGTAAGACTGAACGAGAAGTTATGGGGCGATAGAAGGAGGAAAGAAAGAGAGGCAAGCTTATACACTTCAAATTTATTCTGAAGTAGAAATGATTCAGACCCATCCCTCTTTTTCATGCGGCACACTTCCAGAATTTCTTGCTAGGAAGGCCGCGATAAGGTGAGATAGTGTTTGCTATTTTAGGAAGGTTACTTCGAATTTGATTTGTAGGATTATACAAGATATCATTATGTTAGAACAGAGTATTATATTTTGGTACATATTTCTGAATAGTTTTACGTGAAAAAAATTTTAACTAATTTGAACATTTTCGGTAAAAATATTTAGTTTAATATGTCTGCAAGGATCAATGACGTCCACTCATCGGCCATACTGACAGCACTCTGGATTATATTAACTGATACAGTAGTTAAGTGATTAAAAAACAATACTGAAGAAGCCATTCATCTTCTAGCGTTATTCCAAAAACTGAAAAGTTAAATTTTAGGTAGCAATTGAAAGTGTTCAAATGTTGCGATGGGGAACGGCACAGTATGCAGGCGAAGCGCTGGTACGCTTCCGCTCACGACTGGATGCAGAACGAGCTCTTGCAGAGCATGTTGGTGCTCAACTTGGTACCATACCATTGAATCTTTCACTTATACATACCTGATCTGATTGTACAAACACTGCTCCGTCTCTTTGTCATTCTTCTAAAGTTTACGACATTTGCATGTTATGCAAATATTTGCTACTTTTTGAAGTTTCGACAATTCAACATTATTCAGTCAGAAGTTATGTATTAGACCAATTATTTTTCCAGTTCTGTTTATTTGTGCCATCATTTGGATATAACGCACATAAACGAATCATAATCGTTTTTTTCTTAGATTAAACTAATGTAATGATGTCACTCGCAAATTTCTTAATCGAATAAAATTTGCTGGTTTTATTTTCCATTTCAGATATTGTAATTTATATAAAATTTTATATGAATTCATTTTGCTCACTAGTTAAATTATTACCCAAATAATGGCGGTACCTTACTTTGTGCCTCACTTCTCTGTTTTCCCACAACTTTTTTTTCAGTTCTTTTGTATTTCGAGTTTTTCTTACCCAAGTAATTTACAGGTGTTCCTTTAATATTAGTTCCTTTTAACTTTGTGACATCATTTATTTATCTTTCTTATTTTCAATTTATTCAAACATTCGCCTACTAATGGTTGTTTTTACCCATGACTTTTAATGATGTGATATGCTTCGAAGTACCAAAAATTATTGTTTCATTTTTTTTTAATGATTCAGAAATGCTAGATTATTTTAAATTTCTAGTTTAAAAGATGAATTGTAATGGAATGATAGGAAAATAATCCAGCAGTAGGAGTGAGCAAGTTCAATTAAAAAATGTCTGAAAGCTCTGTGAAAATACGCTAACATGCATCCACTCGTTGATAATAACTTCATGGAACTTGAAATTGTGATACAAACCTATTTCAACTCATATCATTATAATAATCATTATTTTGCTCTATTATCTTGAGGTTTTCTTTATTGATTGATAGCTGTGACAATGATGAAAAGCTGAAAAATTGCCTTGTTATTCATTTCTGTGATAATAATTAAATTGTAGTTTATCACATTTTACCCGTGCCTTCCAAACACTTGAAAGATGACTGATAAATTGTTATCAGTGCACTCTTTTAATCTTGCTATGATGCTGTGATTAGCGGAAGTTTAAGTGTCTATGTTAAGCCGAAAACTATAACAACTGCCAGTTTATTTTAGCAACCTCAAAATAACCAATAATTATAATGGGTTCAAGAGGGGAAGGAAAATATAGCTATCTCTCAACTTTCTCCACGATTACAAAAGGGCAAACTTCCTGTGATAGTGCAGGTGTAAGGGCTGTCATTATAAACTTTTGGTTAAAATTTTGTACTCTCCCAGATGGCGTTGATGTCGCCCTTTTTGCTTCTTCGACTTGTTTGCAATTCATGCGGTCTTTCTCCCTGTAACTCAGGGTAAGGTTTTAGCAGTTTATTTCTCCAGTTGTAATCCAAAAAAAAATTGCAAAGTTGGAGGAAAAAGTAGGGCTTTCGCGACATGACTGAAATTAACTTGATAAATCGATGAATTCCCAATCACAGTAAGAATTACATGATTATTCCATTCTATTTTAGGTGATATCATCTTCAAAATACCATTGTGAGATATTTCGGGCAATCAAAGTATGAACTGCAGGGAGTTCTCTATCAATTCCCATCTGGTGGCCATTGATTGGTACATTAACAATTTGCAAAGATAAATGATAAATTGTGTTAAACTGCCGACAAAGGAACTTTTTATCCAAAAAAAAACCGCCCAATTTTATTTAGATTTGCAGCAGTCACTTTTTTGGTGTACTTCGTTGAAAATGTTGGCGTAAGGCGGCTTATCGAGGCATTGACGTGTGAATCATTCATTGGAGGAGTATTTGCATAGCTTGATTCGCCTCATAGAGGCATGCGAATTTTCAGATTAATCGGTTTAGTGCTTCAATTGTTCAAACTGTCCCAACAAACTTTCTCCGATAATTCTGTCTTTACTGTAATAAATTTAGCATTGAAAATAATGACATTTAAACAGTGTCAATTATGAACCATCTATAAAAATCACTGATTGACTTTTTCAGTAAACATCGATCATCAATTTACAGTTTAAGAAAGTTTACGAACACACAAGAAGCATTTAAGAGGAGCAAAATCAGAACAGATGAAAGTAATTTCAGTTAACTAGTCTATCGACATTACGAACAATCAGCTTGCCTACATAATTAGTAGACTGACTGGACGAATAATTCAGGAGGTCTCTATGTGAAGCATTTGTAACGTTCGGTTGACGACCTGCAACCCTAATGATGTTCTTGATTAATGTCTTGGATGGTGAATTGATCCAGTATCCGCAATTTGTTTTGTACAATTTTAATTCAAATAAGATTTCAAAAAATAAAGTGAATTAATTGATTGATTTGTGTAGTTTGAGATATTTTGTTTAGTATATTATAGAGGAAACGGAATAAGGCTTTAAAGACTAGTCAAGAATAACGAAAATGACATTCCCAATACCTTAAAGTGAGGTATGAGGGAACCGCTCGTGGATCACAAATATTTGTTATTTAGAATGCTCAATAGGAATTAGTTCATTGAATACTGGTACAATTAACTGAAAAGGTGGTGGGATTTGCAATTCTTTTTAATTTCTGATAATAATTTGAATATACGAAGTTATTGCAAATACTTCATACCTGGCTCATTCAAAGCATTGAATGAAATCTTTGCGAATATTTGCATGAACTTACAAACTCTGATTTATCTAACTTTATTGATTTTTCAAATGAAGAATGAAAATGATAAAAAAAGGACAAATGCATCCCACAGAAATATCATTTTTACATATAATCATATTTTAGATTAATTAAGTGGAGAAATAAAAATTTGATCTAAATTTTTCGCTTATAAAAGAATGGAATGTGCAGTTTCCACATTTCGAAACGTATCCCTTCGTATCTGAATCCTTTTTGAATTTTCTCTCTAAAAAAAAGCTCAAAGCAGGTTATTATATGCTTGGGTGTTCCTTAGGTCAAAAATACCTGTGAGTTTAAATCCTCAGATGGATCATTGGTCGCTAATTTTCGCATTTCGCCAATTTTTTTTTTTTTCATATTCCAATTCATGGAATATTGGAGCATACCTTCGTCATATATAGTAAGCAAGCAAGTAGAAAGACATAAAGGAATCCTATCTTTCTACTTTAAAATCGTTCAATGACTGAAATCGACTGGAACTTACAAAAAATTAATAAAAGTGACAAAATGAGGAAAGATATAAAAGGACACAGAGAGTGACCTAAATATAATTTACTGTAAGAAAATGTCATCAAATGCGTTTGTCTTCTTCTTACCAAATGACCCCTTATATCATGCATGAATGTGTTACGAATCCTTGCAATCTTCACGCCTTTATTCGATCTTCAAATTTCAAATTTTTTTTACGGAAATCTGGTTGACCTATTTAATGAAAATCGAGCACATGTAGTAAAATAATAAATTTAGAATGGAATTTGTACTCATCAAAAGAATGACAAAAAATAACAATTATAATATAATAATCGAAATTCATTCTGAGATGCTACTGCGATAGGGTTATTGAGAATACCCAGGATGATATAACATACTTTGACATGTGTTTGTAGTGATATGATAGTGTAGAAAGCTGAATTATGATAGAAATGGGACGGACGAAGATCCTTTGATTCTTTCAATTTCTGACATTAAAGGTAGAATCTCCTCTAGAAAATCATTTGTGACCAATAGATTCGAAATGTTTATCCAACTGATCTATGTTATTATTACTGATCTATAATTTATTATCCAATTCGTTTGTTCAGTTTTCGAAAGTATTAATAAACAATAAAAGGGTTTTGCTATTGTTTTTACCCCTGTGTTAAGAGATCTCGGATTCAGCAATTTAATTCAAATTTCAACAATTAGTTCAAAGGATTAGTTAAGTAAATAGAAGCGATGATAGAAGCTAAGTCATTATTTTGGCCTGAAAAAAAAAAATGTCATTTTATTGGGAAAAGACGTAAACAAATTATCTCAGAGAAATATGAAATGCTCGAAAGTTATGCAGAAATGGAAAATTTTAGTAGCATTATTTGCTTTGAATTTTTAAAATGATGTTCAAGTGATGAAAGGGAAGAGGAGGGGTTCTTATTAAAGGATATTTAGGGTTCCACAAAACAGTGAAATGTTACTGTTGTTAATATAAATGTATAGTTGTACTGGTTGAGCTGAAAGGAGATAGAAATGCGGAAGAGAATAGTAATTTAGAATGGAACCTTCTAACCCTTCGTCGCCTAAAATATTTAAAGAGGTTAAGAAGATGGCCGAGAGGTAACTGTCATTGACCTCCAAAATGAGATTTGTGCTCTTTCTAATCAACACCATCACAATCTCTCTTCTACACCAATAGCAGTAGCACCGATAATCTCCCTCCTCCTGCGTTACCTGCCATTGGGTTTGCGAAAGTAACGACGTTTTTGTTGTTGATTTGTCATCAAACTTTCTCATTCATCATCATCGCAATCATTACCTGTATTACCTTCAAGGCAGTAATATTTGGGTGGATTTCGGTGGCTCAACCGACAGGAACGCTTCTAATATGCATCTTTTTAACGATGTGTCATCACTTCCGTATTATTATTCATACCTCATCATAATTGCATACTTTTCTGGGCTCGCTTCAATTGAAATACAAGAAATTCGTAGGTTTTGTTTTTATATTACTGCAATTTATAATTGTTATCGTTCATAAGGTTCATAGTGAATTCATGAAATTTCCTGATCTGAAAAAATTCCTGAAGTAAAACGGTTGTTACTGGAAATTGTTCCATGAAACAGTGTAAGATAGTAATTTTCAAAAATCATGATCTTATCAAATCGCAATCGAAAGAATCATGTTTACAAATGGTCACACTTTCTAAAAATTCCAGTCAACTTCAATCTTTTATTCTTGATTTCGATTTTATTAGTAATTTAAACATAACTAAGAAGTGTGAATTCCAACGCGCGTTGCACAAATAAGTTAGAATAACTTGGCAAATATGACGTCTTTTTCAAATTCTTTTCGCATTTCTAGTCGAACCGATTGGTTCCTTTCGTTTCATTTACTGAAAAAGAGTAAAGAAGGAAAGGGCGACAAAAAAAAAAAAAGAAAAAACAACAAAGAAAAAGAGTTCATCTATTGTTATTAATATATACTGTCTGGACGATAAATCTTATTCCGAATCCAGATTTTGTGTTCTCTTCTTTCTAATCCTGAATTAAAAAAATAAGTGAAAAGTTGATGTAATAATCTTCTGTGAGCATACTGTAATGTTATTATGCATCACATGTGGGATACTTAACTGTGCGACCATTAAAAATTATTTCTTAAGAAATTTAATTTTATCGTTATAAAATTTTTCTGGATCTAAAAATGAATAACATCCATCCTACTTATTTCTTCTCTCACCTATTTCAAAACTCATAGGCATCTATTACGAAAGTAGAGTGCTCTTCGCAGCTATTTTAAGGATTTCTTTCAAATTTCCTAAAAAATACTTTTTTAAGCTTATTTAATTTCTCATAAGAAAAGTGGCCCGGCTCCCTTAGTTTTGATATTTCGTTAACTTTCAATCCAAACAGTAAATTCTTTCAGATTGATTTGAGAATTTTAGTTAAAGATGACAACTTGTTGCTGGGAAAACATAAATGGAGATAGTGAGATAAATAAATATTTTTGCTTAGAATAGTGATGAAAACATCTCTTCAATTTCTTCCATTGTATGAAACTTTTTGTCGAATTGCAACATTTATGGCAGTATCATACTGTTTTTGTACAAAGTGATTTTTTATTATCTTCCAAAATATTTGAATCGAACCAAAAAAACGTTTTCATCAGAAGCTGATGGGCATTTTCTGTTGATATTTGATTAAATTAAAATTGGCGTATTTAGTCTCTCATAAATTTGCAACCTTTTAGAGCTAGTAGTGTTTTATCATTTACATCAAAACATTTTTGGAAGTCCGATGACACACTTTTTGCAGAAAAAAAGTGGTGTGAGTTGTCCTATTCTTGAAACTGACCCGTAACGGCACTGATACGGTCCATTCTTAGATTGATTGCGTCGAGAAAATGAGCGGTAAATAAGTATTTTTTACAGTTGTAAAAACTGGGTTATCTTCTAGTGAACAAATTTATACTCTTAAAAATGTCAACATCGACTAATCTTCACGATAATCTTCACGAGAAAAGGTTGCAGAAAGTATTAATGTGAACATTTAATGTCATTCAACAGCACTATAGTGTTTTTGTCTTTCCTTATTCCCTGTGAAATAATGCTGCTTGAAGCTTAAAGAAATGAAGTGACAAGCAAAGCACAGAAAAACACACATTTTTCCTGTTTTTCCTTTTATCAAAAGAATAATGAGAGGAATGACAATGTAAAGGACTTTTTTTCTGTTTATATTTGAAAATGAAAATGAATTTCGAAGCTATCATCGAGTAATAAGAGTTGAAAAAGCATGAAGAAGTAAAAAAAAAAAGAATCCATCTCTACGTTCCCAATTTTGATCGTGTGACATAGTTTCGGGATGCATGATGACCTCTGCTGCATGATCTTATCATCCTCCTGTCGGCTTGATTTCTCTAATAGTTATATTAATATTATCTAATTACTTTGCATAAACGGCTTTGAAATAACAAATTTTCTGAAAATTTTGGGAATGAAAAGTTTGAAAATTTTAATAAAATGAATGTTTTAATTACAGCATCATATCCAACATGTAACAAAGGTGAGTCACCCGTCTTTTTACTCCAACACAATGCTACTGCGGGCAAAGTTCTGAAGCGGGCTTCCACAGCAAGTCTCGTCGACTGCACCGATCTTTGTTTCACAGATGATGTTAGTTCAATTTTCGAAAAATTTTTCTTTGCTGTTTCGATTATTGCATGAAAGATTATATTAAGCAGATTTTAGGATTGTTTGGCGATAACCTATCAAGATAAAGAGTGCAGAATGCTGTCAAGTATTGGTAAATCAGCTGAACGTTCAGATGATTACTTATTAATGAGTAAAAATTGTGCTAAAGTATATTTTCTGTTTTATAACTTTACTGAATATTTTCATGAATAATTTATCACATTATCACTAAGTACAGCTAAATGCACCTGGGAAACACTCCTTGTTCGCATTATTATAATTTCAAATAATTTTAATAACTATCGCAATCTTATCATCATCATTTTACTGAGACCATAACACCGAGTTGGTTGGTTAAGTGATATGTCAGAAACAAATGAAATAGTGCTGTAGCATTTGTTTTTTTTAAAAATTTTTTTTAAGAAAAAGATAAATGCGTGAAGAAAACAGAAAAATAATATTTGAAGATGATGGAATGTAAATTATTTTGCATGAATGGAATTTCTACTTCTTGTTTCACTACAAATAAACGGAATTAAATTTGTAGAGTGGACGGATCTGCTCATCTCCATTTCAATTCGATGTTCATGAACAAAAAATTTTGGTTGGGTTTGCTCGTGAGGTTCGTTCATTGTCAAAAGCATTTTAAGGTTAAAACACTAAAAATATAGCAGATGACGATAAGAAACCCGAATTCTACCTATTATCTCAGCAAAGTATGATAGCTTAGTGAATTCCTTCAAACAATTTATTTTTGAAAATTTCAAATATTTTTCATTCGGAATATCCTTCCTTGTAATTGCAGGAAAATATCCACTCGTTTGGAATTGTTATTCAGCAACTAAATTTTATGGATTAATCCAAATTTGGGAATTTTCTTGTTGCATACATTTTTACGTTTTGTTTTGTCAGATTATCTCTTATAGGTTGTATCAGCTGATTCATTATCGTTATGCTTATCAGCTTGTCTGAATGCATTTGATTCGTTTGGTTTTGAATGTGAGTCGGCAATGTATTATCCGGTTGATTCGGAATGCATCCTAAACACCGAAGATCGTCTGGATCGACCTGACTTGTTTGTGGATGAATTAGATGACAACGTCATTTATCTGGATAACAATTGCGCTGGATGTATATTACTTTATGATACATCGTCTAATCACTAACTTTCTGGATAGTGATGAAAGAAACTTCCTCAGTTTAGCACTTAGTTGCATATCATTTCTCAATCCGAATTCAAAAGATCCTACACCTCGTCAATCTGTTGCCGTCTGGGAGATCAGTGCTCTTTAGTTTTAAAAAAAAATCATTTATGAACAAGGAAATAACTGTAAATAATAGGTTCGCCAGCTACTCTTTTGCAAAAAACAAGTAACTGAAAGATTGTTTCTTTGATATCACTGATCTGATAGTTATCAATGACAGCAGTGATAAGTTCCAATGGATTTCAGCGCAATGCTATGCTCCATACATCACACAGTATATTGCCGTTGCAAATCGCCAGTTAGCCAATGAACTTGATAGACAACTAATAGCTGATCGTGAATCCTGCGAATCATTATGTACTCAGCGACTATCCACAACGGTAAATTGCTTGAGCAGTAAACAAGACGAACCAGTCATCAATTCAGTTTTAGAAGTTAAATTTAAATTCAGCAAGTTTGAAAACTTTCCAATTTGCAAAGTACTAAATCCAATGCTAGGAAATTTATTCCCTTCTCACTAGTTCCATATGCTTCGGAATAAGATGGTCAGTGCAACACTTTCTGAACCAGTCCCATTTTCGGTTAAATTTCTTGCTTATTACTCACTGATCCAATTGCTGATTATCAGGATCTTAGCTAAGATAAGACTTAAAGGATGATTCCTTCGGGAATTTCGAGAATGTAAAAGTTTTCCCTCTTTCAAAAACAAACTTGTCAAACCAAAGCTTCAGGCAAACGACTTCAATTGTAAATCATTCATGCATAATCCGGATAACAATATTTGCATACTTTCTGATGAACGTTCTAAACCACTTGGTCGGGGAAATCTTGTGAAAGCCGATGGTTTCACATATTATGAGAAAAAATGTTTCGCATGTACGTTTTCAAAAGCAGTGGAATTATTTAATGCTTGCACTTTCTGTCATTGATAAGATCAAAATGATGTTTAATTTTATTTCCAAATGAAAATGACATTGTTATTCAGGCAATTAATTAGCACGTCAAAATAATCTTGAGATTCTTCCCTTTCAGTTCATATTTTAATAAATTATAGCGCCAAGAACATGTCGGAATGTGCCGTCATTTGAGCGCGTACCGCAAATGATATTAGTTGGTTTTGCTGCATTTGTTATGGAAAATGTACCTTCGGTAACGATGTGCCTTGATCAGTGTACAAAGTAAGTTAGTAATCTGTTAGTTCTAATATCATTATCCTCATCATCAAAAGAGCATCATATATATGCCCCTATAGGTTAACCTTCAATCGAACCGTTTCACTTATATTTCAAAGTGTGTGTGTGGAGGCATACATATGATGCTCCTTAAACAAAAATTTAAATAATTTTGATGCCATTAAAAAAGCTAAATAAATTGTTTAATCTATGGTTTAAATGATTACAGGGATTTTTTTAGAACACTGTGATAAGGAAGTTGCGAATTTTTCCTTTTCAGTCCTCCACCGGAAACTGGAGAAAATTTCGAATGCAAATCTGTGATGTATTATTACAACGAGCAAGAATGTATTTTAAACGCTGAAACAAGAGAAAATAAACCAGACTTGTTTATACCAGAAGGAGAAGAGTTCCAAGTTTGGATTTCAACATTAATCTAGGATTATTCAGTCAAAATAAATTTCTTTTCAATACATGATGCCATATGTTTCTTGTCAACCTATTTTGCTAATAGTAACACTTCTGCTTGCTTGTTACATATTTTCTGAAAAACTAGAGGGTTACTGTAACTTTTGATTAGATTTGTCACTTATATTTCTTTTACATTAACTTTATTCGTTCTTATTATTCCACGAGTAGGAATTAGAATTCACTGTTTCTTTCTTTTGGAAGCTCATTTCAGGTCGATTATTTTGATATCACTTGTCATTTGCACCCTGAAACGTGTCCGAATGGTACAACATTACATACTGTACGTACAGTGAATGCAGCACTTCCTGAAGGCGAAGGATCGATTCATATTTTGCAGTCAGCCGGGAATTCGGTTGCTGATTGCATGATAAAGTTTGTTTTTAGGAGATCAGGTTGACTGTTTCTCTAAGGTATATCAGCGCAAATTACTGATAATTATTAAATAAATGCGAATTGTGCGGGTGCTGCATTTATGCTGCAACAGTAATGCGAGAAGGGTGAAGTAGTTCAGTAATGCTTTCAATGTGAATATTGTCCTGTTGTTTGATTTCAGATGTTACGAAATGACTCCCGAGAAGTGTCGCGCATTCAATTTTGACAAGCAGACATCTGATTGTGATCTATTATATGTTGATGGGAAGACAACCTTACGACCTACAGTCCATTCGGGCATTGATCTCTACGACCTTCACTGCCTAGATCGTGAGAAGCATTCTAGAAATTCTCTTCATTGCTTTACATCTATACAGCAGACAGACAGCTCAAATTCATCATTGAAAAACATAATGTTAACGGGTAGAGGGAGAAGATGATCACTTGTACAACGGCAACGACAGAAGAATGATCTTTTACCGATTGCTGAATTCCTTGACATAAATTTGTTGCATCAGAATCTATGAATGAATTAGCCTTCTGGGGAGAAGAAACATATTTCTATTAAATTTTAGTCATGCCAGTATTTAAATTTTCAAAAAATGGATTTACTTATGGATAATTCATGAATTTTCGTTTTATAAAAATTAGAGAACTTGCAGCTATCGAATAACCAAGTAACACTTTCCGAGGCTTTCCGGAAAATAGCATGAAAAATCATGAAAAATATTTAACGTAAACAATTTCCAAAAGTCAACATTTATCAAATCGTCCAATTATTATATATTTACAAATGATCGGTATCCAAAAATGATTGGCGATCTGTTTCCAGAGACAAAAGTCTGCGCACAGCAAAATGACGTAACACGATTTTCGAGATATTTGTATAGTATATATGATGCAGTACCATCGCAGTTCTACGAAACAATCGCCCTTACAAATTGTCTTAATCTTTGCGCATCCAACGAGCGGTTCATTTTATATTTATTAATTTTACATCAGTTTCATTGCTTATATTCTTCTTGACCTCTTCCATGAATTATTCAGTTCAGAATCAATCTTATTTTAAGATCAAAGCAAATCTTTGTAACTTTACTATGCCAGTATACAGCTCGCAAGATACAAGTGCTTTGCAATCGTATGGTTGAAATTTGATTTCGGAAATCATTCTCATTGAAGAATAACGGAAGAATTTAACGTGTTTCAGTTGCGAAGGTGTAAATTACAACAGAAGAAATGGTCGTTGTGAACTGTTTGATAAGATTGAGGGAAATGGAAAACCAAGTGATTTCACAGACTTTTACAAAAACCTCTGCCTAGTGAAGGAAGTGGAATCAGAATATAGCGCCGCAGCTAACGTCCCCAAACATCTCCTTCAGAATGTTTCGCATCCTTCAGAAGCTCAGAAACAAGAAGCTAAATCACAATTTATCGTAGCAAAAGTATGCTTTCACAGCAACATCTAATTCTCAGCCATGTCTCCTCGCATGCAATGATTTAGCTCGGAGAGTATTCAAGGCATTTCCCAGTGTATCATTTGAACTAGTTCGGAAGCAACTGATAAAGTTCTTTTAGAAAAAGCCTTTCCTACGCGAGCAGGAAGCGCAGCGACGAGCTCCAGAAGCTATAACTAAGTCTACTGCAGCTTCCGGAAGATCGTCAGCTGATGCTACATTCACAATTTCTTCATCCGGAAGACTTCCAGGAGCTGTAGTGCAAATCGCTCCGGATGCGGTACAAACAATTTGCAATTATGAGGGCATCAAAGTGCAGGTTATCTTTAATTAAACTGACACAATAGTGTTAGTTTGCCGTGAAACTTATATTGATTGCTATAAGGCGTAGTGCACTGGATATACTGAAACACGTGAAATTGCAGGTGAGAAATACAGAAGCATTCTCAGGAGTGATATTTGTTAAAAACAGGTATGAAACCTGTCGAGTAGAGGTTACGAATAGTGAAAGTGCAGTGCTAGTAATTGGTTTACCACCAAATTTCGGTTCAAAAATGGTGGTTGACAAAAGGATCACCACTGACCAGACCAATATCCAACAAGCAATAACCGAAGGCGATAAACTGAGTAAACTCGGCGATGAACTGCGCACAAGGCGACAGGCTTTAGAATTACAAAGGGATTGCGGAATTCAGGATATGGTACGTTGGGAAATAAACTACATTTGTAAGAGCCTAGGAACTCTCATTCTTCACTGACCTTATCCGCCAAAGCTGATATGCGTTCGACATATAAAAAAGTAACGAAAGTTACTGTAATCTTCAGTAAGTGAGTAATTTCTAAGCAGTTTTAAAATTACAAGGTTAACAGATTGGAACGGATTGTGGAATTATTTTCATTTCTGATGATGGTGCTTTTAGAACAATGGTACTTATAAGTCAACGGTAGTTGTCCAAACCAATAACTTGGGTATACCTGGATTGGTAACTTCCATGGACCAGATTTTTGAAGTGAGCTGTGATTACAGTTCAATGCTCGGTGGAAAAATTACTGCTGGTGCCAACCTTACAATTGAGTAAGTAACCGAAATTTCAAGTTTATGATTGACTTCTTAAATTACTTCAAATAGCGGAGAAGGTTGTTTGTTTCTAGAAGTGAAATAAATGATGCTTTAAGATTACGATACGCTTTAATGAGAAAAATTTCAGTGGTCCCGAAGCATCTCTTATTCAACCACGAGGAAAAATTGAACTTGGCAATCCAGTGCTAATGCAAATGTTGAGCGGACAAGGAGAGTATCAACCTGTCCTACAAGTGCTCATTTATAAATTCACTTTGTAAACCACTTAGGAAGTCCATATTTAGTACAGGTGAATATATTAAAAACACAGTATATTTGCCGCCCTTTCAGGCAAAACTAGGTGACATTCTGCAGCTACGTTGGGAAATAATGACTATGGATGAGGAACTTGATTTCTTCGTTCGAGATTGTTTTGCTGAGCCAGGAACTACCACTCTGAATGCGGGAGAAAATTTACAACTCATCGCAAATGGGTGACTAGTCTACTTGTAAAAGAAAAATCTAATCGAAATTTGTGATTAACACAGAAAAACGATTAGTCTATGTTGCGTACACCATACCTAATTGAGGAAAATTTTAACATTTGAAACATTCAATTTAACGTTGGATGTTACTACCTTATCATTCAATACTGATTTTTTCTAAGAGAATATATTTCAGCTGCCCAACGCCAGCTGTATCGCAGAAAATTATGCCCGATCCGATAGAAATAATGTCCTCCTCAGTGAAGATAGCACACTTGCAAGCGTTCAGATTCGATTCATCCAGTGTAGTCAGAATAACATGTCATTTGGATATTTGCATGAAGAGCTGTAAAGAGGTAATATCATGGTTGTAAACTTAAACTGGGTTTTAATTACAATAAATACGCTGGGCATAAGTTTTTAAACTTCATTCATCTTAATTACTCACAGATCCCAAACACTGTAAAAAAAAATCAGATTTATTCTTTTAGGTGACGTGCCAACTAGGCAAGGAACAAAAACAATCATGGGGTCGTAAAAAGCGCAGTACAGCCAATTCAGTTACTGACTGTAAGTGAAGGCGTTAAAGAAATCGATGTTGATGGGTTACGCGTTTTGGTTTCTCGATATTTTACGAGAACCAAATGATTAACGGTTATTTGAGTGCGAGTACATAACGTCGTTACGATACATTAGCAGTGCTTATTGTTCCATACATCTGTAACGTACCTGAAGTGTCGCGTATTACATCGTTTTGCATTATAGCACACTGCAACAAGCAGTTGCTGGTCTGCTCTTCTATCAGTTCGAACTCATATTTCATAATGACTTCCAAACTTGTTTTAGATGAAACGGAAAGATATAGAATCCCAAAACTTGCTCAAGCTACAACTTCTGTGATCATCATAGATCCTCTTCAGCAAGTTGCCGAACCAGCGGCCCTTGCACGAACACAAACTTTCGACCTTGTGCGAGAAGTCTGATTTATTTCTTCATTTCCCAACAAAACATAAAATATCTAAACATTGTACACTTGAAAAAAAAAATTATTTCCAGGAACCGAAGATGACGATAACCGCCCTACCAGGACAGCTATGTATGGCCAAAATATCGTTATTTGGTATTTTTGGTCTTCTCTTCATTATTACAACTGTACAGGCTGTTGTTGTTGCTCATTATGTATTTCAAAGGCTAACAGGAAACTACAAGAAGAAATACTAAGGGCTAGGTTCTTCCAAATTTGCTACTTCTTAAAGCAATTCATCTGAAGCTTTAATTTCACAAGCGCTAGCTACTGAGTTACGTTAAATCTTGACGATATCCTACGGTTATTCTTTTCATGTAGACCACACCCATGAAAAGGTGGTACAATACCAGCTGATATGCTACAGAATTCCACTTGAAAACTCATTTACTTGACCTAGGTAGGTATTTCGATTACAAAATCCTTTATTCGGATTTCGGCCAGACAAAGAAATATTTTGTTAATAGTTCCTTCATGGTTTAGTTGTTTCTATTGAAACATTATTTTTTCAGTTCCAATTTTGTCCATAATGAAATTTATGTTTCTTTTACGACAAAGTACTAAACTCCGGCAAGGATCAAAGCGGTTGCATTTGCATAAAACACAAAAGGCAAGATACATAACTTTTAACAGCGTTTCGACGTCTTTGTCAGTTAATACTTAACTTTTCTTTTAAAACTTCACTTTTAAGCGCACAATCAACTACAAAGTTGACGAAAACAGAATAAGAACTATTTCGCATTGGCTTTCATAGTAGCTGTATGGATATTAATCTGTAAAAAATTATATCAAATAAACATCTGCGATACATTATTAGTGAGTTTTACTGGGGCCGAACCTAACAATTGATAATAGGCAAATTGAAAGTAGTCTTCATAATTATATGGTTCAACTAGCTTAAGTGAATAAAGCAATCGATCCATCGACGTGCGCAGTTATTAACCATGGTTGCGAGGGATGAAATATTGCAGCTAGAACTGAAAGACCATTTCTCTGAGCTGTTTGGATATGCAACCTTCGTACTGGTATAAATTCATTCTCTTTGAATGGATCATTATTGATTCGGGCATAATACACAATTGCGGTTGAGTCATCCGATACAGTTGCAATTAATGGATATCTGAAAAATCAAGAAACTTCCTGCGAAGCTATCAGAAAGTTCGTTCCCAAAATGCTGAGAATTGCAGAACTATTTCTTAAATTAAAAAAAAGTAGTACTTCCTTTCTAGTGTCAACAAGTTTGAAAAAGAGTAAATTAGGTTTTAACAAAACCTGACAACTTTAGAATGTGTTGCACCAAGAAATTATTTGAATAAACCATAAACGGCTAAATCCCTAAACTTAGCGGATCAAAACCGTTACTGATCTCATTAGTAACTAGAGCTTTATTTTATAGAAAACATAATTCGTTTAATGACATTATATTACTCGCCCTTCATGGGAAGGGGGACAAAGTTCCAAGTCCTTAGTATTCTGAGATACAAGACACCAAATTCACGGAGATCCTTCTTCAGTAGATCACTAGATTAATAAGATATTTGGAGTATACAACCCTATTCACATTTCAAAGGATGATAGCCTGCATTCTTAGCGCATTAGACGCAACAAACAAAGAATATTTCAAGTATTTTAGGCAGTGAACCCACAAATCTACAGACTAATGAGAGGATGAAAGTCTATTAAGATAAATATGCTCCAATACAAGCACAGCATCACTTCCTCATCCAGGTTTCTTGCTGTTATTGAAAAGAAGAACAGCTACGGACAAACCTTGCATGCTGTGTAACTGCACGAATAGCTGCCGTATGATGTTTGACGCTTTTCCATGGTTTACTAGAAAGTTGCAAGTCGATCCATGAAAAAACTCTATCATGACCGCCAACAAACACATTATCTCCTCGAAAGTCAACATGCACGGAGCTCACCCACTGTGAACCGGTTATGATTTTTTTCTTCAACTGACACTTCGCCAAATCATAAATTCGTATATATCTTTGCGTTCCAACAAACAGAAGCGGCTCATATGGATGAAATGACAACACCGTCATAAGGCCTTTTAAACGAGAAAAAGGTCGCTAAAATCGATAAAACTACTTCAAGAAATCATTAAGCTGAAACTCAGGAATTTCAAAGTTCCAGACGATAAACTTTTATCTTCCCACCACAAGACTACTGCTCACCTGAGATTTACATTTCGAAAGTTGATGTATATAAACAAGTTTCGGCGACTTCGAATTAGCAAACGTTGCAAAGTAATCACCTTTGTGATGCCATACTACTTGACGTGCAACCTAGAGAAATAAAATCTAATACACTGTCAATGAATTGTACTCGTAATATAAATATGATTGTAGAATGAATTACACCCACCCATTAATTAATTGTGATGGCCCTCAATGCTAACTTGAACGTGAATAAAAATATCCCGAATCTCGTCAATGGAATTTTAACACGATTAAAACGGTATTATTTATGCCGAAACAAAAACAACTTATGCAAATATTATAAAAATCAGCAGGAATTTAAAGTAAAACTCACATATCCAAGATCAATTGATATAGTGTTCTTCCCTTCATGTTTCCATTTTAAAGTATCACTTTCTGAAGATTCACATCGGAGTTTTGATAAATATTCCGTAGTAGCCGTGATACGATAGCGATCTCCACAGTAGGAATTTATTAAAATCATTTTATTCGATTCCACTGTAACAGCCAAAAGTGTCCATTTTTTAAGAGGGCAATAAGCTACACTTGTTATTGAACCTTCCAAACTTGTCGTCTATAATGATTGCATTTTCATTGCAAAAACTGAATTTACACATATAATTAGAGTAAGAAGACACAAGATCATTATTCCAAAACATATGAAAAAACTTCATATCTATTTCTATTGCAGCCTTCAATGGATCTCAAATGTACCGATATTATAGAAATAATTTAAGCATTAAAATGAACATGAATTCTAAAAAAAAAAAACACCGAGAACGACAACTGAAATCCAAAAATCAGTAAGCCTTATGCATAATAAAGATTATACTCCTGAATTTATTTTCAAATCTTTAAGCCTTTAAAAACAATTTGGACCACTCCCTACTGCCTGCGACTTTAAAAAACGAAAAAATATATACAAAAATCGGTACTTTGAGACATCTCCCATCACATACGGACCACACTCGTAGCGTTCCGTCCTCACCACCTGATGCGAAGATTTCCGTTGATTCAGGTTCAAAGGATAAACTCCTCACTTGCCCGGAATGACCAAGCATACGCTTCAAAAAATTAACAAAATGAATTCATTAGATTTGGAATTCTAATCGATGTATGAAGATTTACCAATATGTTTTACTTCGAGATCAAAAAATAAAAAAGTGGAACTTACGAAGCTCTGTGTCGTTGGGAAAGGACGCATTTCCGCCAGGTTAGGAAGTTCAGGAAGCAAATCTGCATGGTCAACATTTAACTGAAAAGCATTATGTATAGAGAAAAGCCTCAACTTCAACTTGGGCATATTTATTAAAATAAACTGGTCAAAATACCTTCATTTTCCTTTGCCGTGGTGCTAAATATAAATCAAGGCAGCGCTGATAACGGTCGTTATAAAATCGATCATATGCCGGCACTTTCCTCAAACAGTCATATTTTTTTGGGACAAAGTCTAATCGTCGATCTTCTGGATCAGTTTCCTGAGATTTTTTTTTAGATTATAAATTGTGGAGCTATGCCAGCAAGAAATGTAAGAAATATCAAATTATCAAAATGCCAAAAATATCACATTGCAAGAAATATCAAATTTGAAAGCAATCTAGCATAATATATATTTTACCAGGAACCAACCTTCCATTTCTTTAATTCTTCCTCATCACATAAATATTCTACCGGCGGATTATAACTTTCAGCGTGCCCAGGTAAAGGAACTTTTGGTGCAGGAAAATGCATTCGTATCCTGGCTAACTCACTTTTCGTTTTCTCATTGGAGGAATTATCAGACCATAAATCATAAACCTGCAAAAAATTCAAAAAACAAGATGAAAAAAAATTCCGGATCGGTAGTGACATTCATAACAAAGTCCTAGATGAATAGCTTCTTGGACCAGACTTTTTTTTCAATCTGCTTTGGTCGAGATGGTCGCAGCCAACCCATTTTGATAGCATGCACCATCTTCCCTGAAAAGAAAGAAATGCCTGTGAAGGGTACGTGAAACCGTAAAGTCGGAACAAGTTTTGAGAAAATTTTGTTAAAAAGCAAAACTGACCAACAAGACGCTTTTCATCCAGTGAAGGAATAAATGAACGTTTAGAATCTGGACGATTCGATATTGGATGAATTTCTACTTGTGATGAGAAGATGTCCACGAATGGCTGATATGGATTGTAACCAACTGATGGATATTTCGAGGCATTCAGTGCGTTCAGCTTTTTCACTTCGTCATCGTTTAAAGTAATAAAACCACCGCTTTGCCGATCGTAAACTTTACTCCTGCAACAATTCTCTCCTCATATAGGCTTTTCTGAACACGACTTACTATATAATAAATGAATAAAATAAAATCGAGGACTTCGCAGAGAAATTAGAAAAATGAGATTTAACATGATCGATGAGATTCCTCAACTTTCCCGTTTATTTTGCATAAACAACAATAAATGCAATCTATATCGAGGAAATGGTTTTAAACAATTTTTTTTTTTGCTTAAAATTAAGCAGCTTTTTTTACGTCAATATCGGAGAGTTATTAATTAGAGTTGTTGATTTTAACAGTATGGAACAAAAAAAAATATACATAACTGACCAGTAATTAGGGTCGTCCATCCGATCAAGGAATTCTTCCATACCATCCTTTTTTTTATCCGATTCGATCTGATTTCCGTTTTTATCATAACCGATATGCTCGAAGTCATCATACCACGAAATCGGGATGTTACCTATCGTATTCCTCAGATCCTAGAACCATAATTATTTCACTAACTCTCTCTTTATCATTGTAAATATTGTTACAAGAAGGGAATTTTATGGCAGTGCAGAAGACAATCTTACGGCAACTGAAAAACGAAAAGTAAGGCTGGAACATCACACCTCTTCATCACTCGAATCATAATAGTCAATTTTTCCATTCGTTCCTTTGAACTCTGCCGATTTTACTCGCTTATGAATCATTGCTGTATCTGAAGAAAGTATTTTTGTGAATGAGTAAGTGTTCATGCCATTATCCAAGCTCGACAATCACGATCTGATAATCAGCTTAACCCAAATACAGTCCCAATCAGGCTCGAGAGCCATAATCTGATGACCACCACAACCCAAATGCAATCAGGTTCGACAATTACGACTCGATAATCTAACCTAACTCAAACATGTTCGGAGCCATGAAAGGCTAATTGGCAAAAGCCGACTCGGGCCAAAGTCATTGACGTAGCTGTATAGCAGGCTTGTCGTCTTTGTCTCTCCTTTGTAGTTTTATTTGTTGAATTAGTATTGTATCTCTTCTCCCTTCATCTCTTTATACTGTCATCAAGTCTGCAGTAATACATCTATTCAGTGATAACAAACAGAAATTTGTTAGAAACCACTGAATCAAGATTTGTCACCCCTTGCTCATTACCGTTTATTGTATTGCCTTATGATTGTCTTGATTATCTCATTTTATCTTATCACAAAATGTATGTATTATTCTCTCTCATTATCATAAATTATATGTTAGTGGTGATGTTTTGCTATATATTAAAGGATCGATGTCGAAAAATTTGTCAGATCAGTTGGATGCATTGCATGCTAAGCTGTTAGCAGTAGGAACTAACTTGGTATACATAAAGAGAAATAGTAAGAAGGATACGAATGCCGCATTCAAACGATTCAAAATCGGTTAGTCGTTGTTTTCCTACTTTCTCATAGTTTCATTTCATGAGGGTCATTAGAAACTTCTTATTACTCAGGAAACTTTGTACTCTTCTGATTCTCTATCGAACTGTCATATTTTTACCATCGTATTTTTTATCGTCATAGGTATGATATCTTTTTGTCAGGCTGTTCAAGACACTAATAGTAACTAAATGAGTTTGTACCGTTCCGTAATCGTTTCATGATGATATTATATAATGATATTATATATGTAATATTTCTGATGATATTATACAATATGATGCAGATGTAATGAGTGCGGAAGTGAATGATTCCAATCCATATAGTCGATTGATGGCTTTGAAGAAAATGGGTATTGTGAAAAACTACGATGATATCCGGAAAAAAACAGTGCTGATAGTAGGTATTGGTGGTGTCGGAAGTGTTGTTGCCGAAATGTTGACGAGATGTGGAATTGGAAAGCTTATATTGTTTGATTATGATAAGGTAGGCATTCTCGCTTGTGGTAATAAAAGTCATCTATCCTCTTGCGCAAACATGAAAGAAATCATTTTTTGTGTGATACCAAGTTACCTTGCTAACTTAATATCCCACATATGAAATATACATTATCAGTTAAAATTCTTCAAATTTTATATCATGATTAGAACATAAAACGAGAACTTATTTCGCTGATCCCTTCTACAATGTTAAGTAATGTTATTCGTTTGATATCGTCACTGAACTTTTGCTAGGAAGAGCAATATTTTGTGCGATCTGGAAGTCGAAGGATGAAGTATACTAGTAGGTTTTAGGTAGAACTTGCTAATATGAATCGTTTATTTTATCAACCGCAGCATTCTGGTATGAATAAAGTTGACGCAGCACGGAACACTCTGATGTGAGTTTACTGTTATGGAAGTAACCGATGTGAAGCATACTATTATTTATCTGTATATTATCGTTCATCACCGATTTTTTTTCTATTTTCAGAACAATCAATCCCGATGTAGATTTCGAAACGTATAATGTGAATATAACGACCGTAGAGAACTATTCCCTCTTTGTTGACCGAATTAGGTATCTTTGTCTTGTTCAAAGAAATTCAGTTGCTTGAAAATTGCAGCATAAAGATCAGCACTGTTTTTTTGGATATTATCATGAAAAACATTTTTTCTTCAAATCAAGCTATAGAGACCTATAGAGATAGGTGAAGCTCCTGCTGAGTCATCCAGTCACTGGTGCTGACACCGATCCTGCGAAACAATCCATATCTCACAAGATGAGGTATTTTTTTTTTCGAAAGCTTTTTGGGCAAAGATGAGGCCATTTTGTTGCATATCTTCCGGATTTTCTTTTCTGTTCCCTACAATCGCATGTTTTTTAATGTACGTCCTCAATCGCACGAAGCTGAAATCTATGACATACTAGCTCCATTGTTTTTGAAGGATTTTCGTCATCAAACATGACTTTCTGTTGTATTAAAATTTTGCAAATTATTTGTAGGAAGGGAAATCTTATCGGTGAGAAGGTTGAACTCGTTCTCAGTTGTGTGGATAATTTCGAAGCTAGAATGACTATTAACACTGTACGTATAACCACTTTATTTTTTCTACTTTTTTTTTTTAGTTCTATCTTTTTTCATTGCTTATTCCTGATATTTGAAGTAAATTGGATGTATCTCTCGTTGACAGCATTTATGTTTTGTTTTCAGGCTTGTAATGAAGAGGATCAGATATGGATGGAATCTGGTGTTAGCGAGAGTGCGGTATCTGGCCATGTACAGTGTATGCGTCCTGGACATAGTGCATGCTTTGCTGTAATATTTTTTGCTTTGTTACCAAAAATATTGTTGGAATTCAAATGATTGTTCGGTATTAATTCATAAACAACTTTTTTTTGGAAATTTATCCATGATTTTTTAAGCTCTACTCCTCAAATACTTCATCTAACGTTTGTTTTTTAGTGTGTGCCTCCTTTGGTGGTTGCTTCAAATATTAACGAACGCACTCTGAAACGTGAAGGAGTTTGTGCTGCGTCATTACCCACCACTATGGCCGTCGTTGCGGGCTTTCTGGTACAAAATGCCTTGAAGTATGCAGTACTTCTTGGATCTTACAAGTTACTTCTGAACTCGTTTTACGTACATTTTAATAAATCACTTCAGGTTCCTTTTAAATTTTGGTGAAGTATCGTACTGTCTGGGGTATAATGCTCTCTGTGATTTCTTTCCTCGACATCAGATATTACCGAATCCGAGTTGTGAAGACCGTTTCTGTCGACAAAGACAAGAAGAGTATAAAGTATGAACTTTCACTTTCAAATCGGTGAAATAAACTCTTGAGGGTTAAAGTGCTTTCATTTTTTCACTCGTAATAATTTTTACAAATTCTATGTGAAAGTTTTACTGTAAGACTATCTTTGATTACAACCATTTATTATCACTCTATAATTGCAGCAAGTTGCAAATGAAAATGAAGCTGACGAAAATGAAAAGGTCGAAGAAAACATAACACACGACGACAACGACTGGGGTTATATTGGTTCTCGGGAAATTTTTGTTACTGGATTACAATAAACGCTTATTCATGTTCATTTGCAGGAATTGAAGTGGTGGATGAATCATTAGTTGATCCTACTAGTGATTGTTGTAATGGACCTGGCAAAGGGATACAATTTGCTTACGAAGCTCCTGTCAAAGAGGTATTTTCTGATATTACACCGGAACAATCTTACAGGAAATCTTACAATTATGCAGACTAATATTTGTTTGTATAATTCATTGTTTTGGTAAAATACATGGTTTCAATAGTTTTCTAGATTTGGTACACTTTCTCAAAGTGATTTTTTAGAATATGGGTGATAAGGAACAAATATCCGAGGCAAAGAACTTATCATCACTGATGACTGAATTAAAAAGTTTATGATAAATGGTGCTGTTAATGAATTGTTATGAGTAAAGAAGGGAACAAGGGATGTACTTGTTTATTACTAGTGTATATTTTATTCTCCCACTTCACTTATCAAAATACATAAAATAAAATATGCAAGTCACGGAATTTTGTTTATTCCATACACCAAAAGACTGCAGTTACCCAAATAAAAAGTGTCAAACTATTCCTCATGCAAATGCAGGATAAAATTCAGTGCATATTCATCGAATCTTAATTTATAAATTTCAAAATGTAGAATTTTGAACGATTAATGTGTCCATATGCAAGGTGCTAAAACAAATAGGATCTTTTTTAGGAACGAATGGGATCTGTATCACCACAAAAGTAGCATCTATGATATAGTTAGCATCAGTAAACGCGAAAGTAATCCTTATGATACAGTCAGCAGCAATAAACACGAATAAAAAAGGCAGTTGTGTTACATTTCGAATCTTAAATCGGTTGACAAATAAATATCCCTAGATTCAAGCTGCAAACAAAAATATTCACCCAGTACTGTGCATAAAACAATACTCAATATCTGTAGCAGCCACCAGGAAACATGCGTGGGAATCGATTTATAATACAAAGTAACAACGATTAAGTGCCAAAAATGTAAAGTACATGTAAAATCCAAACACTGTTTCGAGCGTCCAATAACTTTACTCATAATAAGAGAGCATATTGCAACCGAAAGTAATTGAGTGACTGCTCCGCGAAGTGTAGCCTGGAATTAAGCATTCACATTACAGTTGCCGTTCCAATAAGCTATGCTGAAGCACGTGTAAGAACCTAAACCACTTATATCAATAAGTCATTTATACACTCAGTTCATTTTATAATGAAAAATTATCTGAATTCTTGAATGAAATGTTTTTCATTAAATGTTACGTATTACCTTTCTAATAAGGTGATACTTTTATGTTTTTGTCCTTCCAGTCAACAATCAACGAGTTCCCACTACCAATGCTGCACTGAATAATACACAGCTATGTTGGCGATAAATTTTCATAGTGGCGTAATAAATTTAATCTTAGATGTGTAACCACTTGATATAAGATTAACCCCTTTCTGCGTACGTTAAATTTTATTCGTTGTCGGAGTTTTTTAGGCATTCTTATAACAAGGAACTAATGAGGTTAGCGACTTTACATGAAGGAGGAAGTGAAGATAGAAACACAACGATCTACCAAGACCATTAGAAACACTTCCGAGAGGAATTGGGATGAAAGTGACGTGAAAGTTAAGGAGACAAGAGTAACATAAAACCAACAAACCTCTGTCGTGAACACTTGTTCCAACGAAGGATAATGGCCTCCAACGGAGAGCATTACTAAGAGAATACACTGGGTGGTATAGAATGTTGTTTGCATACATATAATCTGCGAAACAATCAAACCGGGATCCCACACATATGATCGAAAAGAGTTCATTTTACCTGGTCAACATCATCGATCGATTACGTTTGTTAAAGTCAACAATACCTGAAGGGTATCCATAGTTATAACTTTTTCTCTTCAGACATTATTTCACATTAACAACTTGAATTTATCTACTTGTAGCCATCCTTTTCATTACTATTTCCAAAAATCAATTTTCATCACCTGACTGATGCATCTCACTGTTTTGAAAACTACTCTTTTCTTTTTCTTGAAAACCTTATGTGATTGGTACTATCATGTTATTCTAAGGCAACAAATCAAATTATTTTGTGCCGGAATATTATTTAAAACTTCGAGTCGTTAAGATCACCTCAACTTCTTTGGATGGAACTATTTGTCACTTAAGTAATATGCTTTCTATATTGTACACTGCATTCAGGATGAAGAAATTGTGATGGTAACCGAAAGGCTTTTGAAAAAGCAAATGACGATTAAAATTTGACAAATATTAATTAGAGTTGAATAAATGTTCTCAAGTCAAATATTGTGCTTATC